TGTATTTTCTTTAATAATCCCTTTACATAGGGTAGGCAGACTGAATCTGTTCTCTGAGTGCTGTTATCCTCTTGTACTCTTCTATCCAAGTTTGCCAGAGCTGCTGCCATTTACCCAGGGTAGTTATGTTATAGGATACTGCTTATACAGACCATTTCTTGTTTGTATGTCTCTGGGTCACCACCACTTTGGCTCGATGTTGTAAGCAGCAGATAATCCCTTTCTTTACACTGTATGGATGGTGGGAGTTGAAGTTGAGGTATTGTCTGGTGAATGTTGGCTTGCGGTATACAGATGTTTTGAACCCCAGCTCTATTCAAGATATTAGTACATCCAGGAAGGCAAGTTTGTTGTTTTCTCACTCCGTTGTGAACTGTATTGATGATCTTATTGAGTTCATATGGTCCAGTAGTAGCTGGATGTCTTCCTGGTGTGGCTAGAGTATGAAGGTGTCATCTATGTATCTCAGCCATAGGGTTGGCTTTAGTGGTGTAGATTCTAATGCCATTTCCTCAAAGTATTTCATATATAGATTTGCCATTGCTGGTGATAATGGCGAGCACATTAAACCCTCATATTCCATTCCGAAGTATGTTTGTGTACAGAAAGTCAGCATCTCCATCAGGTTATCTATTGGTATACTGGTCTCTCTCCTGACTACTGAGCGTGCCTTCTCCGTGGGTACCTTGTGAACAAACTCACCACATCCAGGTTCACCATCTGGTTGGATTGGATGGGAGCATCTTTGGTTATTTCCAAGAAGTAGGTGGGGTTCCAGACATATGATGGTGACTTTTGAATTAATGGGTCGATTATATCTATTAGTAAGCAACTCAGAGGGTGGCACACAGAACCTTGGCAGCTAACAATCACCTTGAGTTGTATACCATTTTTTGGGAGACTGTATATGTAAGGTGGCTTGGTCTAATGCTGTGACAACTGCCTGTATGCCTTAAGTGTGAAATGGTCCTTGTTCTTGATTAGAATCTGTGACAATTTGCGTTCTGTTTTCATTATAGTATCTTTCTTTACTGTAGTTACCATTTGCAATGAGGTCTTTAGTTTTTATGTATATTCCGATTTGTCCATCACTACAGTTGCATATTGTAGTTGAATATTGCATTTAAAATTTTGAAGATTGTAGGTGGCAGGGAAGCAAGAATCTGGACAAGTCTTCCAGGGATGAGAAAAGTTGTAGAATAATAGTGAAAGTTGGAAGCATATGTAAGGACAATCTAGAGACTTAAGACACAATTTCATTGTCACTGGGATATTTTTCACAAATATAGGCACCAAGGCCATACATGTTGACTCTCTAGAATCATTTTGATAGAGGAAAATAGCCAGGAATGGAGAATTCAATGGTAGAGATTGAAGAGTTTAGGTTAGAGAACTAGTAAGTCAGGAAAATAATGGAGGTAGAAAGGTTGAGGAGATGAAGAAGTTTTGACTTTTATTTGCCTCTAGACCAGGTAAAATATTAATCTTTTGATAGGATGAAATACATGGTTCTAACATTAAAATAATATATGATCTTTATAAAAAAAAAAAAACTACACCTAAAATTTTGTGAGAAAAATCATTGCCAATTTGTTCTTCAGAAATTCAATTGAGTAAACACATCTGATGTTGCATTGAGTAAAACACTTGATCAAGGCTGCAGGTCACAATGGCCAAAACATAACAAAAAAAAAAAAATGACAATATTTTGCATATAAATGTTAAAAGTATTTAATTTTTTTTTATGGATATAGGAAAAATAAAAAAAATTAAAACTATTCAGTAACAGAATCAAACTCTAAATCTGGTTGAAATATTTTTCACAGACCATATTTTACTTGAAACATCTCTTTCCACCTAAATTTTTTTTTTTTTTTTTTTTTCCTAAATGATATTGATGTCATAAAATGTTCACAGATGCTGTCCCTCTTACGTCTTTTAAATTTCTGCTAAAATGTAACACCTGGTTGTATTGATTTAAATATGAGTGCATTGATTTTTTTTTTTTTTTTTTTAGTAATAAGGAAGGTCAGATCTGAATCCACCTGTTGCATTTAGTTTTATTAAAGGAAAACATTAATCTTTTTCACCTCATTTCTTTCTTTTTCTGAGAAAAATAGAACAAAATGAAAATAGAATGCTGACAGTTTGATTGCTTCTTTTTATATATATATATATATATATATATATATATATATATTTACCTGAGTTTTGTAGTAATAATCTGAAACATTTAACTACTTCAGCATTTCACAGTAAGTAAAGTAGAAATTAGTTTATGCTAATATGATTGAATCTGTTTAAGGCAATTTTACTTTTGGAAATGGCTTTTCTCTTTATAAATTCAAATAAACCTATTTAACATTATTATATATTCTACTGAGACAATAATATATTTTAGTCATTTAAATAAACAGTTGTCTTGGTAATTTTACTAAGAGGTATAACTTATTTTTAATTATTAATATTAAAATTTAACAAGTGTATTGGGAAGAAATGAAAAAGATTAATTCTTCTTCAATAGTATTTTTCAACTTTTTAATTATAATTTTGTGAACCATACAGTAAGAAAAATACAGTGGGGAAAATTAATTCCAATTTAAAAAAGAAAAATAACTTGAATAATTTTTACTATTGACTAAAATTAGTTCAGATAGAATCAATTTCATGACAGTTCTATATATTTTACATCACCAACAAATTATAGCCATTTTTAAATTATGTCATTAAGTATGTGATTCAGCTTTCACTCTTTGCTCAAGAGATTACTATGTAATTAGATTATTGAATTAGCCACTATTTTTGCATAATAGATAAATATTTTCAATGAATAAACTTTTAAATTGGATTACTGGAATACATTTGTTTTTTTTTTGTTTGTTTTTTGTTTTTTTTTTTTTTTTTAAACCTCCAAACTTGTTTAAAATGCTCCTGTATCTCCTCTATTATAAATTCAAGGCAGTTCACTACAACTCTTGTATTATTAGTTATAAGCATATAAACAAAACTTTGTGGCAAACATGCATCAGTACAGATGCAAGAGAGGCCTCCAGATTGTATGTGAAGATGTCTGTCAAAACCAGTTACATCCAGGTTTTCCCCATTAGCAACAGAACAGCTTGGCTTGTTAGATACGGGCCTCTATGCAACTTGTTTAGATCCAGGTTTCTGTCAATAAAAATGACAGGAAAATCAGAAGTAGACAGTTGGTAAGACACAGTGTTTTATGAAGTCAGACCCTTGGACAGTTTGTTCCTCAAGTTGTGTGCTACGATTGCAATTGATTAGATAGTTCCCCCACCAACCTCAACACACTTGCCATATTTTACAACAGCTGAAAATAGGGATGCATCTTATATACTATGATGATTACTGATTTTATACATGTCCGTTTTCTTATTTACAGAAAATGTTTTGTGTATAAATTGTTTTTATTCTCAAATAATTTACTTGTACCTCAATAAGTCATCAAAATATTTCCATGAGTTGAAGATCAATTTTGTATAAGGTATTGGTTGTCTGTAAGAAAAATCAAGTATAGCAGTGAGTACAAGGATATGTAGTATTAAAATTTGTATGAATTTCAAGGAAAATTAGCTGTTAATGTGGTGAACTAAAATATGCCTAGTTAAATACAGGTTACTGGATCAAATGGACCATTTCATACCAAAATCATAACTGCATTATCATGACAAAATAGAGCTTTTATCCATTAATAATTGTACCTTTTTGTTATTCTAATTTGTACTTCAACTACCTCATCAAATCCAACAGCCAATACTTCAATTTTACATTTACCATCAACACTGTCAATTCTTTCATATATAATGTGTGTACTAATCTGTAGTTTGTCTTTGCCAGTAGAATCAGCCACCTTTTTTATTTTATTCAGGTTTCTGCACACCAATGCACAAGGATAATCCTCTGAGTGACAAAAATGATTAACTCATCACATTACAAGTGGCAGAAGCACTTGAATGAAGGTTTCACTTGATATATGAAATGCCTAATATTTAACACCTTGGGACTGACATTAGTGTAATCTCTGTGGTCACAATTACTACTTTCACTATTTTCATCATTACAAATCTTGACTCATTATTGGATTCAGCACCTGGCTAAGAAAATATTAGACAGATTTCTTACAAAATATCCTGTCAGCTGCTTCAAGACAAAGAAGTTTCTTGACTGATCTTATCAGTAGCTTCCAAGTAGATAGCAAGTTCCCATATTTCTGATTCTTGTTTGCACACTCATTAGATTAGTGACATCATAGAAAATTTGTTTCCTCGTAAATCTTGACACATGAACATTTATTTTGCATCTTGTAATAATCCAGTCAAAGGTGAACTCTGACACATGCCAGATAATACAACAATTCATTTAAACACAAGCTTTATTTATGACTTTTCTGCCTTCATATCTTGTCTTGATTAGCCATTGAAATGGTACAGGTTTGTGTGGAGGATAATTAACTTTAAGAAAACATGTTTTTTTTTAATGTCAATCAGCATTCAAAGTTTTTTAAGATTCCATTATCATACAGTCTCTCTAAGGATGATATTTCAGTTTATCCATATCTATGTAGGTACTAAATAAATTTCTTTGTTCATTACTTTCAGTTAATTTTATCAGGTCTGAGTTGGTTTGTCTCCAGTACTTTTTACTTCAGTTAGAATAATTATTTAATTTCATTTTTAACTCTTAATGCTCTAGTAAGACAACTTCACTCATAAAGTTGTAAATAAGTTCTTACATTTTTAACTTTCCTGTAAATGAGACAATAAATGACACTAGTAAGCTTTGTTTTCAAGTTAAATTCTGACTTGAAATAAGTTACTTTTCTCTATGAACTGCATTTTTTGTTTAACTCTGACAATCTGTATATCTTGAAAGTAGATGCTATTAATTTATCCTGTTTGTCCTTTTTAAAAGATAAAGAAAAATGACCACATCAATTCTGCATATAGATTCTAAATTTTCTTTTTCTTTCAGCAACAATGTTCCTCAACACACTTACCCCAAAGTTCTATGTGGCACTTACGGGAACATCATCTTTGATCTCTGGTCTCATTTTGGTAAGTTTTCTGTCTTTTATATACAATGATGCTCATAAGTAGCTTTTGTTTGCTTCTAATATAAATAGTATTTGAAAGTACTCACAAATATACATCTTTCATTTTGGAAATATGTAAGCAATCTGTACCTGAATATCTTGCATTAGAAAAAATTAAGATTTTCTTTCTGAATATCTGAGTGAAGAAAAATTAAATTTGTCATTCAACAAATGTTGATTGGTAGTTTTACATGAAAGTCATTATGTAAGATATTGACTTTTCATTCTTGTTATAAAAATGATATTTTGTTAAGACAGTATTTTTTTATCACTCTTGAAGTGATACAATTTGTCTTGCTCTCATTTCCTATGTTACAATTTTTGGTAATTTAAATCATCCTTTAGACACACACTTGTATCTCCTGCAAATAATGAACCTTTCCATTAATCTTTATATAAGAATGATCAAATACAGTTCAATATGTGTTTATTGGTAATCATTTATAACTGTTTTTACAAACCAATTCATTTGAGTAATGAGTTCAATACCCACTGGATACTGCCACAATTGTGGCCCTCTGACTGAATAAATTTTGCTAATATTAATATAATTGGTTTACTCCAACATATTTCATTGAAAGTGTAAATTAATTTATTTAAAAAAAATGTTTTACTATGTTCCTCCATTTGTGGTTTTGTACTGTTATGAAGCATAGCTTTTACTAAATATTAATAAATATTCAGTTATCAACACAAGAATCTTGTGCAAAAATTCCCAGTTTAAAAAAAAAATGTTTGTGTATTCAGTCAGTTTCTCATTACTAAAAAGAAAAAAAAAACAAAGGATTGTGGGAGCTTTTTCCACACGCTTAATATAATGGAAGGATTTGGAAGATGAAGTTTAACCAAGAAATTAATGCCTGGAAATAGAAGTGATATCACTTAAGTCGGAAATTCACAACTTGTTAAAAAAAAAAAAAAAAAAAAAAATTAATTTGCCTAAGATATTCTTGGAACTTTTATAGTCTGTGCCTTTGGATTTGATTTGAAATTAACTGCTACAGGCTATCTAAATTTTCATCAAACCACATAACTATAAAATTGATATCCCTTTAGACCATGACATAGTGGATGTAGAAGTTAAACATGTTGTGAGTTCAATCTCTGGTTCACTTAGTAAAACAATACATATACTGGTACAATAGGAATGAACAAAAACTGACATGACAGGGGCAAAATAACACACTCAATAGATATACCATATCAGACCCCTGAAGATGACCAGAATGTACTTGGTTGAAACATAACATCAATAAGAATCAACATGAGAACTATAGTTTGAATAAATTAAAGTGTATTAACAATTTCTCATTTCAAAAATACACCAAAAATAAAAACTGAAACAAACCAACTATAAAACATTTATATAATTTAGTGTATTTCATTATCTGTTTCCTTGTCTTTTTGCACATTGGGTTAGGTAATTTGATTGATTAATCTTATAAAGTTATGCTAGTGTACATTTGGTCACATTTCTTATTTCATTTAACTTTTTTCTTACTCTTTTCCATAAAAATATAAACTTTGTACCTGTCTTTCTCAGAATGGATAAATAAAATTATTTTGTAACAATCTGATTATTTCAGTAACTTAATGAAATAGTAAAATATTTTAATTTCATTTTATTCTGTTTTACCCTTTCATATAGAATATCAATTGTATTTACAATTTTAGTTTTTTCTTTGCTAGTTTTCATTTTTGCTTGTTTGAAAGAAGATTGTCTCCTTGTACTCAGATTATCTAAAACTTGACTGTTTTAGGTGTATGTGACAGAAAAATGTTGAGGTAAATGAATGACTGGTCATGTTAATTGTATGATAGTCTATCTATCATACAATTAACATGACCAGTCAAACTGAAAAAGATAAAATAAAAAAGGATTTATGCTCCTTGATTTGTATGCAAAAACTATAAAGAAAAGAGTGAAAAACAAATTATAAACCAAATTGGATTGCATAGCTTTTTACATGAAACTGTAATGTATAATGGTCATTTCTAGCAGCCAAATGTTTCCATGTTTGGAAGATGAATGTAGAAAACACACACACACTTCATTTCCTTCTCTGTTTTATTTTTTTTTTTTTAGCTAGGAATGAAATCTTGCAACTTTCCCCAGTTTATGAGCTCAACTACATTAATAGTTATTATAATGGTTGGAGGTTAAGTTTTTAATTAGCATAAAGAAAATATTTTTTGTTCCTCTATTGAATACCATTGGTATATTTGACTAGAAAGCACCCTTACTGAAATTACTATCATAAGTATACTTGTCCCTCAGTCAATCAGTAAGTTAGCATGTACATTACACCATACCATTACCACAGATAAATAATGGACAATCTCATTTTGATTGTGCAGAAAGACAAGAAAAAGATATATCAAAGTCATTGTTTGGTTTTAGTGAGAAAAAGAAAGCAGACATAATTTAAAAAAAAGGAGGGGGGAAGATGAATAGAGAATAAGTTTGCTTCAGTGTAATGGAAAATCTTGTTAGCTTTTAATCTTATTTGTACTTAATTCTTTAAATAAGGACCTGTATTCATGTTATTGCAGTATTTTGTTAAAGTTAAGCTCAGATATTTACCAATTCAATTAGTAGTTTAACAATTGATTCATTAGAAAATTCAAATAGAAAAACTAAAATTTTCTCAGATCCTGCTAGTAAACAGATAAAAAAAATGTAATTACTATGAGTCTGTAACACTTTATAGTTAGAATGGTTTAAATATTTCTAGTTTACTATTTGCAATAGACAAAAACAATAATCTGGACCTGGAATGTAAGGACATTGCATCAATGTGAACAGCTAGGTTAAATATTTGCATTTTAGGTGTATGTGAAATTGGGTGGGTAAATGATGGGGATTTTGTAAATGACATGATAATATATACAGACAGACAAAAAAAATGAAAGAGTAAGACTCTTACTAGATTAATACATGAAAAAATGTGTTCCAGGATACTGCCAACTGTCTGACAGAAACCCTTCCTATTAAACTTAAAGGGAAGTTGTTCAATACTTCAATTATAATAGTATACACACCAACAACACAAAGCACAGAAGAAAGTTTTACAGTATACTGGATAACATTAAGATTCAATACAAATTTCAGGAAATTATCATCATGGGAGACCTAAATACTGAAGTAGGAAAGGAATGAGTAAAATACTTGGCAAGTACGTATTAGGATTACATAAAGGGCATGGAGAAAAATTGATCCACTGGTGCACAGCAAGAACCAAATAATACCCAACACCTGGTTTCAAGAATATCTAAGGTGCTTGTGGACACAGAGAAGCCCAGAAGAAGACAGTGAACCAGACTGACTACATAACACTCGATGAAAAATCCAGGAATAGTTTTACTAGTGCCAACTGTGTGAGCGATCACCTTCCAGTCATATGCAAACACTGAACAAATTTAAAAAAATTAAAGCAATGCCTAAACTACAGTACAACACTCTAGAAAGATTTAAATTGCACAAGAGTTAAAAGGAAATATAACTTGGATAGGACTGGCAAATTCAAAATAGAACACAGAGAATATCGGCAAACAAAATCATCCCAAGTTAAGAAAAAAATGGGGATGGCAAATGGAATTGCCGAGATGATGCAAAAGAGACATCAGGCATTACCAAAGAATGGTACAAAATATAATACATCAAAGGCAAACATTAGAAATAAATGCTGGCAGATAAAAGATGTATGGCTCAAGGAAAAGGGTGCAGAAATAGACTGATCATCATAGATACAAGTATGCAGAAAAGATTTAACAGGACAAGATGTACTCATAAAAAGTGAATGTTTGATAAAGGAAAAAAAATACCTTCAAGATGGAACAACATGATGAAAGGAAACCAACAATACAAAAAACATAGGGCCTGAAATATTAAAGTCTTAAATAAGAAGGGACTGGTCAAGATGAATGGAACAAAATTACAGAAATAATATATAACAGTGGCAACTTTAGTGGATTTATTTTTATTGTGCTGCCTAAGAAGACAATTGGTTTAATGGACCATATAACTAAGCTTATCTCATGAATAGAGCATATAACAGAATTAGATCTGAAATAGGACAAGGACAGTGGCTTTGTTAGACGCTGGAACAAAAAATCTAATATTTATGATTAGAATATCAGAGTAGGAAATACAAATGCAAAAGGACATGTATTTATGTGTTTCATAGATTAGGCAAAAGCATTTAAGATGTTTTATCTTAAAATCTATTTGAACTGCTAGGAAAACTTGATTTATTTGGGAAAGATATTAAAATAATCCAGAGCACTTTCTGAGAACAAACCACCTGCATATAGATAGAAAATGAATTGAGCACACAAAAATAGAAAGAAGCAAGAGACATGTTTTCTCACAGGATTTATTTCACCTTTACAGCAAAGTGACCCTAAGAGAACTAGAAGACTTACTAAGATTTATTATCAATTGGCACAGTCTTAATATCATAAGCAGAAGCAGAAAGAAAGACTACCCATTGTAAGAAGATAGAATATGTAGTTGTCAGCAAGAGGAATAGCACAAGATGTGAGCTATGAATTCTAGCAAGAAAGTCTAGCAAGTGCAGAAAATTAACTAGGAAGTCTTAGTAGATAATAAAACATGTAACACAGAAATATGAAGAAACACTGAAAAAGTGAAATATGCCTGTTAATATCTAAAAAAAAAAAAAAAAAAAAAAAAAAAAAAGTATTTAAGAAACAGGCTATATTGAAGGCAAGTGGAGCAGAGGGAAACTACAAGTAAGCTAACTGACAAGCTTGTGTAAATGGATGGCAAAACAGGAATTGTATAGACAAACATTGCTACGAGTTACAAATGATATAGAAGTTGCAAAGAGCCCATGTCTTGTAGGGATACAGAACTTAAAAGATTAATAAGTGGTTCTTTCTTGGGGAACAGTTTGGTCTATTTTTAATATTTTTAGAAGAGTAATTTTTTTTAAATTT